TTCCAGGGTCTACAGTTTTCCTCCTACAGGAAACAATTTCACTGTATCTTATAGTCACGCGCCCCTGACTTGGAAAACTTAAAGCAATAACATGGTACACTCTTTAGACATGATCAATATTTAAATGTAAATAAATCGCTAATACCTGTTGGGTTTTAGTGTCCAAATCCCTGGCTAATTCAAGACCCTCACTCCTTGCTAAATTGTTGGCCTTTGAATAAAATGCTTCAGCACCACAGGCAGATGACAACTAAAACAGCACAAAACAATTAATAAAATCGAGACACGATCACTAAAAAGATGCATCAATGAAAGACAATATATATCAAGCCTAGTTCCAACCAGCAGAGCATGCAAAACCACAATCATCCAACATGATTCACAGAACGCTATTAGCAGAATTGTAGAAAGATTCAAGGCATAGGAAGCTATGATTCAATCAAACTCATGTCTTTTATAAATAGATCTATTCCAAATGTTTTTTCATCTGGCCTTCCTCAGTGTATAGAAGCTAAAAACGTATGGTAAAAAATAATTAGACATCTAAACTAATTACAACAATATACTCACTTGACAATAATTACATCAGTTAGGCTTAAAGTTTACAAAACAAAACAAAAAAGAAAGAAASATTTCTAAACTAATTTACATACTAATAGGATTTGTAAATATAATACAGTTAAGATTTTTTTTTTTTTGGTGTCAGTAACAGCAATCTTGCTGTAACTTTACTAGACGAGACGACGCTATTCAACCCTGAGAAYTTCATACCGCTTTATTTAAACATGTTTAAACATGTTTCGGGAAATTCAACTCTCATCGTCAGCAATACTGATTACTACTGCACTGATCTATATATTCTGTACAATCGTTAAGAATAGGAATACAGGAGCAAAGAAAACCAATGATTAAGTTTAAGACTAACGTGTTGCTGTTGTCGGTTAAGCCCTGGGCCGGKTTGTTCAAAACCTCGATTAAACTRAACTAGGATTAGACCTAARCCAAGATTAAATTCTCTCTAAWCGTGAGTTAGWTAATCCWTGGATTAAATACCGTTGTTCAAAGTTAGATTACCCGGCGTTATTAATCGAACAAATCCGAACAAAAAATCCATCGAACACCAATCGTTCGATTTATTCGGCAATCGAACACAATCGAACTCGAGGTTTGCTGTGACTTCGTTTTTCGAACAAAATCGAACACCGACCTATTGAACAGTTTGGATTGTTTGATTTTGTTCGTTTATAATAAATAACGTGCGACAAGGAAGATAATCTAGTATAATAATATAATATATGGCAAAAAATCCTTAAAACGGGCTAAATTAAAAAATAACCACACAGAGCGAAAGAAGAGCTATTTCTCAATGATCAGGTAAAATTTCGAGGCTTTATTTCACGTTTCAATGATGTTCAGTTTACAATAACTTACAAATTYCTCGCGCGCTGATTGGTTATTTTTTATCATCAATAAGAGGACAGACAGATAAAGCTGACGTCAACGAGCGCGCGCTCTTTCCGTTGGTTGTTTTGATCACTAAAAATAAGAAGTTTTTATCGTTTTTGTTGTTGTAAAAACCAAATAGACATAAGTTTTTTATGTGTCTGTCCTCTTATTGACAATATATTTCGTCATCACATCGTCAAAGTAGTATGCGGATCCACTCGGCTACGCCTCGTGAATCCACACTACTTTGACAATGTGATGACGCAATTTATCGTCAATAAGAGAACATTTAAGTAAAACAGATTTTGAAAATGTACTTATAATGAAAATTAACGCTAAAATCCGACGTTTCGGAGTCATCTTGTAGTTATTGTGTCATCAACATACCGTCTGAAGAAGTTWGGTAGGTCTAGTCGTCCTCCACGTGACACAGAAAGGCGTTGGCCATAAGGGGACCTAATGGGGATCCTATACCCACTCCGTACTTCTGTACAAAGAGTTCGCCATTGTACTGGAAAAGTTGGTMTGTAACTTATGACTAGATCTTTTAGATTATAATGTACGAGCAAACGCGTTCGGCTGGGAGAAGAGCGCGCAACTTATGCTTRGGGTCGTTAAGAATATCTTCGAATAAGCGCGTAGTCAGAGCCTCGCGACGTTCAAATAGCTTAACTAAACATTCTTTTTTATATTAATTAATATAAAAAGAATGACCTATCAGAAGGCCCTACCAGGTGTATGATTTGGTCATATCTTTCATCACGAAGCTGTATAGTRTTCCATTGATTTGCATCCATCAGTTTCTTCCACTCCTTAGCTTCTATGTCTGTTATAATATAAAACTAGTTTTAGCTATCGCTACCCAACGAGCAAACTTCTTTTCCAGATTAAATTAACAGGATYGTTTAGATTGCTTGTGCAATTAAATTCTTGCATGTAAAAACTGTTTGGTTACAAATGGTTTGAAATACMGGAATGTGCAAACGTCATAGTAGACGATGCACACGAGTCCAAAATCAGGGAGGTGGGAGGGACTGTTCATGAATTATTTGGCTAACAGTCAAGTCTTGCTGTGGGCAAATCCATGATTGGCCATGGCAGATAAGCGAAGTTAATGTTGAGTCTCTTCCTTGATTTAAGGTGACTCCAGGATTTTCTTTGGAGATAATCTATAGAGCACATTTTTAATGCTATTTTCTTCGGYCTGCGCTCGATTTTCTTCAAACTCAGCAGACAAAATTATGACAATCTTCGTGAAAATTGATCGACAAGCGAAACAAAGATTCCAGCGACAGGAGGACAATGTTGTGAAAAACCACGGTTAGAAAATGGGCCGGTAACGGCCAAAGCAACTCAAAAATAATATTTTGAATACACCAAAGTCCAAAACGGCGCAAGGCCGAGTGCGTTAAATGAAAACGAGGCATCCAGGGCCAAATGCAAAGAAGTAATATGGTGTCAATGCAAAGTATACACTTGTTCACTTGTTCTGTCTTTCTTTTCTACTTACATTCAGGAACGCGCTAATTTTGCAGCATCAAATTATAAGAAAATACTGTAAATTTGTAAATTTGGCCCTGGATGCCTCCTTTTCAACCGGCCGGGCGCCATAAAAGCTTTTACGCTTTTAAAAATGTTTGAGCTACTWCATGTGCTAAATTCAGAAGATCACTATATTCGCTCGGAAATATTTTAGAAGTCACCTTAAGGTTTTTAGTTCTACGGGTTCACTGATTTTCTTCCCTCAACAAAACCCAACAAGGTAAATTGAAATTTAATTTGTGAATGTACTCCGTTGTACTTGTAAACATTTATACACCTATTTCGAAAAACGTTGTCATCGCCGAAGGCAATAGGCAATAGGCAAAAAGCAATAGGAGATAGGTAATTCCAAGATCCAAGAATAGCTGGAATGACTTGTGTTTCTGCTTCTTATACTCCTCAAGARCATGGACCTTAGTGTTGAGACTGATGCAATGTTGTTCGGTAGTCGACGACACCATTTCCGTCTAGGAATGACCTATCGCCTATCGCCTTTAGCGATGACAACGTTTTTTTAAATAGGTGTATGAAAAACTGATGGTTTTTCTTACATGCTGAAGGGTCCATTGCTCCTCTGTCACAGATTATTATACAATCTATTTTACATCTCTGAGCTAAATCAAAGTAAGTCTTTTCTAACTGCAGCATGGTCTTCAGCAAATTTTCTTGAAAATTGGATGCTATTGAAGAATTTAGAGGTATCAATCAWGTATTTTCTCAACTAGTTTTATCATCCAAAGAAAGAAATGATACTGAAGGGAGTGAAATGTGGTCTGAACAATGGCAAAGACTATGCCAATRCTGAATTGGACTACGTGTTYATTGCTWTTTGCTGATACRTGCATCATTAYTACTGCTCACCATGAGTCTMAGCGCATGCTCAAGGGGTTAATAAATAGGATCAGGGGTTGTAAAAATACTATAAATATTTTAATTGTATTTTTCTAATCACAATTCTCATTAAATTAATATTCAAGAGCAAGTGGCGTTAAGCTAATTCTARATCAAATATATCAAAATATAGCATTTTTTACAGCCCATGATCCCACTTTATTTGACCCCTTGAGCATGCGCTTAGAGCAGTAGCGCGGAACACTTGATGCATGTATTGAGACAAAAGTTGTGACGGTTAATCGACAGTAGACTACTTACAAACAAATAAATGATGGTAATTSAACTGGGTGGAGTGCAATTTGGACCAAAATCATACTTGAGTGATTACAAAATTGCACGACCGCATAGCGGGASTGCAATTTGTTAATCACAAGTATGATTTTGGTCCAAAATTGCGCGACATGAAGTTCAATTTTTACTTAATCATGTTCTTTTTGTAATCATACACAAGAAAAAGACATAATAAAGAGTGCAGAATAATCAATTTAATGTAGAAGAAGAAGTAAATCAATCTGGTTCTTCCTGGTATAAAATAAACGATTTATCAGCAAATCATTAAATATTCATAAATTATGCTAATCATTCTATTCTCTGATTGGCTGAATATAAGAATTATGTTCTGTGATTGGTTCTTCCAAAAAGATGTGATTAAGAGCTCAAAAGGATGCGATTAAGAGCTCCTAAGGATGAGATTTGGGAATTAATCGCACTCCTTTGAACCAATCAGATTGCAGGATTTGGTAGTGATTACAAAAAGGATATGATTAATTGTTTTAAAGAGTGACTGTGGAAAGATAAATGGAAACTGAATAGCAACTTATTTTGATTGATGAAGTTAGTTTACTGCCAAACTAAATTTTCGTGACTACTGTATCATAGTCGCATCAACCAGCATATAAAGGGTCCGAAATTACTGGAATTCAGTTTTTTTTTAGAAATTTCAATTGATGACTGGATTTCAAAAGATGATTATCCCGCTGACGATCAACTGTTTTGTACCAAATCCATTAGCAGTGTATTATTAAAAGTAAGAGCTTTCTCAAAAGAAAAAAGAGTGGGAATAAAAAAAATCTGAATCTGAAATTTTTTTTGTATGCCTAAATCCCAAAACATTGTTGCCCAAATATGGACGACCTCATTTAAAAGTTTAATTTCGGACCCTGATCCATTACATGTCCGCCGTCATGTTCCAACAACTGCCACATGTATTTCACATTTAAGCTACACACACAGTCACACTTAACAAGAACTTAGACACACTTTGCGCACAAAAAAATTACAAAGCTTCTCTCGCTTCATACCTGATTCTTCATCAAGCTCAGCAAATTTTACACCACCACTAACAAGCAGAGAAAAAAAATCGTTCATTGGYATTTAAAAAAGCTAGAACATCTAAKCCCTAGGCCTTCTATTGTTAGTTAAGTACCTTAAAAGTAACGTAGCTGTTTCTGGTACTTTAAACACCTAAAACCAAACAAATAATTCCATTTTTAAAATGTAATCAAAACCGATCATACAATATAAAAGGATACTAGTAGGCATTAAATTTGTTCTTGAAACCCACTGTCTGTCAGATCAATAATTAAAATTATCATCTTCTACATAATACTAGMAAGTAAAGTTAACTGGGAGACTAAGCCAAGGTCAGTGTTACCAGCTAAGGCACATGCTGCACATCACCTCAAACACACCTATTAAAACACATTTATGATGTCACACGGTAACTCTCAGTTACATGGTTTGCTCTGCCAATAAAATGCTTTTAATCTGCTTGTTCAGCTGTCAATGCACTTTGCAAACACCCTCCATACCTAATGCCGATAATGCCTCTGTGAGGTCAATTTATTTACTGGAAACTCAAAGTAATTCAAAAATATATACGTAAGAAAAACCACTTACCTTCCATCCAATATCCTCAAAGAATGTGGACATTCTTGCTTGTGTGGTAGTCTTGCCTCCACATGGGCCTTAAAAACGTCATCCAAAYTTATAAATATTAATGTTCACGCTGTACACTTTGGTTGTTTTACCAAAAAGCTGTATTAAACCTTCAACTGAAAATTACCCAGAATGCAGCCGATATATTGATACATCAATGTTWATTTTATTTTCAAATTTGCGAATATAAAATATATTTTTACCATAATATGGAAATTTTTCGCGCGCTGATTGGCTTAGAACGATTGTCCAATAAGAGGCTAGACCTGCTTGTGCTTACGACATCCGTCACGTGCACTGACCGAGCAGATGAAACAGCTTTTTAAAACTATTTACTTGTCTTTTTGTTCAATTTTTTGGACTTTGTTATGGTAAAATACAAAGCAAAGTCAGTTTTCTATGGGTTTGTACTGTAAACAGTGGAACATGAAATACGTCAACAATGATCCAAACTTTGCAGTGAAACCACTCGTTGCGCTCGTGGTTCCACTTGAGTTTGAATCATTTTTGACATCATTTCACGTTCAATTACAGTACAGACCCATAGAAAACTGACTTCAATTTGTTAAATCAATATAACGGGTGCATTATGGGGGACTAGCATGAAAATCTTCGGAAATTTAATTTGGACGAAACTTCAATGGAAAAAATTTTAAGGGCTTAATAATTACTTGCTAATGTTTTTTCTTTATATTCCAATGGGACGTATTATAGTTTTATGAATTTTTATAGGTGTCTGTGACGTCACACACTCAACACTAAACATCAATCCATAYATTTCTTTGTAAATARCTTCATGYTTTCMTTTAATTCTATTAAGCCCAAARGTTCGCTTATGGACTTAATGTACRTAACTTGTGGWTAGAATCATTTTATGGTAAAATAAATTTTTAAAAAAGKCACATAAATATTCACARATACGCTCCTATTTRTGGTCCATAAATTAAATAAATGAGTCTTTAGTTTCTCTTTTGAAATGATCTACAGATGCATGATGAGTAAGGTAAGTATTTTGGTAGGTTATTCCACAGGCGCGACGCACGAACAGAGAAAGCTTTTCCAACATGGATCTTGTCCTTGAAGCTRGGAGCCTTGAGTTTCATGTTTCTTCAAAGTTTGAACACAGCAAACGAAATGGTTTATGTAAGACCAGAAGTTCAGAAATGTATTTCGGAGACAAACCATGTAGAGCCTTGAATGTAATAACAAGTATCTTGAAAATAATGCGTTTATCAATTGTAAAACAATTTAGGCTCTGGAGTACTGGAGTTATGTGCTCTCTTTTCTCTATCTGTTGAATCTTGTATATCTCTTTGTCCAGTAGCATAATAAGCAAGSTATKGCTGCAATAGTCTATTCTTGAAACCAGRAATRCATGAACCAGTTGTTCTGTGCGGGMCGAGTCGAGGTATCAACGTATACCACCAATCTGTTTCAGAACTAGAATCGCAGATCTGCAAAGACTACCAGATCATCGTTCAACACTATTTTGTAGTAACAGACTATTTGTAGTATTGGTTGAGTAGATTTTCAAGGTGTTGAATGCTAGTTACATTTGTTTTTCATCATCCAAAGTATAACTTCGTTAGCACAGCATACTTACTCGTCCATGGTAATTGATCTATCGGTCTTTTCAAAGGTAAAATACATCTGGGTGTCATCTGCAATAGTATGTTATGTATGATATCTTTAATGAACCTTTCTTAAAATTGTCTTGATTGTGAGGCTAACATGGAAATACAAAAGAAATGCCACAAATTCCATCGAGAAAAAGTGGGATTACTTTTGTGTTTCCATGTTAGCCTTGCATCCACGATACTTTTGAGAAGGGTCCATTGGAGAGATGTATAGTGAGAACAGCAACGGCCCAAGAACTGAGCTTGAAGTATGCCATAGTTAACTTTGGAGGTCTCAGACTGCGAGTTTTCAATGACTTGTCTGGTCAACAGCCAACAACTTAGTGGTTTCTTCAGGGTCAGCAGATTGATAGTCATTTAATATTCCCTTGACTCAATCTTTCATAGTTAGTGTAGAGTTTTCTGATTTTATTTCAATTTCCAATGAGGGGACAAGAGAAGAATCTTCATATGGTGCTACTACAGAGTCATTTAACTGAGGAAGCGGTGAAACAGTTGTGTGAGGATGTAAACAAGAAGGATTATCAAAGTAGGCTTCCAGGATTCTAACAAAAGGAGCATCAGAGTTATCTGCTTCATAAAGGTTATCGAAAAGTAGAAGCGCAGAGCCTATGTTTATGCATCTGTCTTCTGCCACTCTTCTTTGATTTGTTCCTTAGGCTCAGCAGTTTTGCCAGCATGAATCTTTGAAAATGTAATGCTCATTGCCAACTTCTCTGTGCATGTCACATCATCTGAAAGTTCGGCCAGCCCTTCTGAAACAAATTCCTCAATTGCAAATAATAGTCCAGCTGCGTGGGTGCAAGCTTCACCCAATCCTGCAACACAGTGACAGTGATCATAGAGGATTTTTCTCGTCTCCTTCAATATAGCAACAAAAGTCTTATATTTAGTCCTCTGTTTCTCAAAACTAGATAGACTAAGACAACAGACTAGAACAATACTGGGTTTAAAATCGTGATACTGTAAAGACTTGTTGTGGTCTTCTTTCCAAAGTCAGTAAATTCTCAGAGTTTAATAGTGAAGCAGGCTTTCTTTTCCAAATATTTCAAAAATGTTGTCTTGATGACGGGGTGATTCCAACAGATAAGTAGTAATATCAGATAATGATATCTTAGGCTTTTTTTTGGATGTCCTTTGTCCAACCATAATCATCCTTAGCACAATTTTGGGCTTCAGTGATACAGCTATTGAAACTTATGTCTTCCTTGTCTTCACTCGTCATATGTAAAGACAACTGTTCGCTTCCATGACTCTCAGATCCTTGTTACCCTTCAATGGGACACCCAAGAACTTGCAAATGGCAGAGAGATCTTTTACTGGAAGTTTAAAGACATCTTCTACATTTTTTAGTTAGCAAATAACATCCTAAACAACGGTTCAATTGGTTTCCCCCCAACCTTGCTTTCGTGTGTGAGACTGTAATGCACTCTTCACAATTACGGAAGTGCATACTACAAAGTTTGGATGACATTCATCAAATGCTCTCAGAGATATACTAAAATAATAATTTCATAATAATTTTTAATTTGATTATGACTTTGATGAAGATCATTAAACTTTTAATTGACATGTTTCAACGTGATCAAACACCATCCTCAGAACATAAAACTATCTTTATAAATTTCACCTTTGGCTGTACTATTCACTGAATTATTTTTCTTTCACACCTTATCTACTTAATACTATGTTAATTATTCAACTCCTTTGTTATTTTGCTCTATTTATACATTGTGTACACTTGTACTTCGCTTTCTGAGGATGGCGTTTGACAACATCGAAACATGTCAATTAAAAGATTGATGATCTCCATCAAAGTCATAACCAAGTTCTTGCTGCTTCAACCATTTGGCTCAATTTTTAATTCATATAGAGCATTTTCCATAAAAATGATCTAATGTGCTTGTCAATTCAAAAGGGGAAGTTTACCTAGCATTCTTTGAATGCCTCAACCAACTACATATGCTGTTGACATAAAAATAATTATTGTCCTCGATGGCTCAAAAACTGAGATTCTTCAATGTATTTTCCAACTTCTCCCGTAATGTTCCTAGTTCACCTGAAGTAAGAGTTGGGAGCTCAATCATAGTATCACAAGGAATTCTCAAGGATCTAGGAGCCTTCTCAAATAATCATATGAATTTGAATTCTCATGTTTGTCAAATTTGCAGTAGTGCGTCGTTTGCTCTTCGT